CTTGATTTTACTCACCAATTCGGTGCTTGCTTGCATTCTAGGATTTAAATTTATCTACGTAAAAAGAAGGAGTGGGGAAAGGAAGTGAAAGAAACAAACTTTTGAACTTTAACGATACGGAAGCCGTTAATGTGCAGATTACCTAGATACTCTGCAAATTACCTAGGTAATTTGAGAAATTGAACAATTTTCGCAGCTTTAACGGATCACCCTAGTTAATCTGCAGATTAGCTAGGTAATGTACAAATTAACGGATTTCGAGCTTTAGCGGTAACATACACATAAAGATTTGGTGGCATTTTTAAGATGTATAAAATTAAAATAGATATAAATACATGATATAAAAATATTACAAAATTAATATTAACTAAATCATGTTTGTATTGCCTGGTTTTTCATAAAAGCATTGTTAAATATGTTCCAATTATTTAAAAATTTGAAATAGGTTCTGTGTATAAAAAGGAAGTGATTCACAATAACCAATTAACCGAAGTTCATTAGATCGATATTTGTGAATGTTTTCAAAGCCCCTTCTGGGCTCTTCATCAGGCTTCTTTTTTTATTCCAAACAAGCTGGTCATTAACCTTTGAATCTTTGGAGTTAACCTTCAAGCTTGTTTGGAATAAAAAAAAGAAGCCTGATGAAGTGCCCAGAAGGGTTGAAAACGTTCACAAATATTGATCTTTAGCACTCTGGTTAATTGGTTATTGTGAGTCGCTCCCTTTTTATATATTCATCCTGGTGTGGTGCAGTTAAGTAGGTTCTATGCATTCCTATTTAGAATGTTATTGATCTGGTGCAGATCTTGTGTAAGATTGAAAATGTTTGTCAAATTTTACATTAAAATTATTTATTGGATGGTAAAGGTTTTGTTTGATGTTCTTAGTCATTAATCCAGTTATCAAGAAGGTAATTTTGTTTACACTAAGACAAGCAATGTATATTACCATGTTCTCATGAGAATAGAAAAATGCATTGAAGTTGACAGTGATATTTTTGAAAATTTATTATAAACTATTGGAAATTTGTCATGTGAAAAATTAAATATTCAAATGCCTCTATCTCAGAAACCATTTGGAGTAGAGCATATTCTTACATTAACATTTTTGCTTAAAATAGCCTATTCTTTCACATCCCAGAATATTGACCTATTCTTCTGAGACACCTTATATTTAATACAGCTTAGAAAATAAATTGATATATTATTTATTATTGACTGCTTGATAAAATTTTATAAAATAATAATAATTTTTTTCTAATTTAGAGAAAACTCCTTATTTATGGTTGAGTAAATCAAAATTTGAAGTTCAGTTAAGAGATTTATTATCTATAAAGCAATATAGAATAGAAATTTATAAAAATTTAGCATCTGGAAAAGGAAATGATTGGCAGATAATTTGCAAGGTACAAAAATTATTTTAAAATGTTTAAATTAATACTACTAAATTTAAATTATTTAAGATATATTTAAATCAAATAGGCATCACCAGGTAATTTAACACAAATTGAAGACATTTTATTTTCCAACGATGAGATATCTGAAGATATACAAGCAAAAGGAGTCTTGGCAATTAAATTGACAGTGGATAATAATCAGCAAAAGGTAATGATTTCAGATTACAATTTAAAACAAATTCTATTTCTACATAACTTTCCATATAGTTAATTGTATTTAAGCATTTATTTATTAATAGATATTTTTTATTGAATTGTTCTATTAATATTCATTCTAATTATAAGCAATATAGAAGTAATGATAGAATGATTCATTAAATTTTCTTCTAACATCAAATACTTGAAAAATATTATTTCTATTATTTTACATAATTATTAATTAATCTGTGTTATTAAATATTTGAAAGTAGTAAGAAAATTAATAAGAATCAGTTCAAGAAAAAATTTTGAATAATAATTATAATCAATCAGAAATAATATTGTCAATGATATTAATTTAATGGTAATACTGTATATACCAGCATGTGGAAAACATAAATCTCAAAATTGTGGGCCATTGTATACTCCAGGTATAAAACAAGGAGCTTAGTTTCTTGATAAATATTTAGTTATAATATATTTTTATATAAGAGAAGTTCAGTCTTTATTCAAAAAAAAGTTTAACATTTGTCAACATATGTACTATGTACTTTATGGTTCACAGCAATATATTTCAAAGAAAATGAATTCATATCTTTCTTCTAAATCATTCTTAACAATATGCATACTTTGGAAATTCAAGGAAATGAAAATTGGTATGGAGAATCAGGGAATGTTTCAAATGAAATTATATAATCAGTTCTTATTTTTATTTATTGTTACATGTCATACTTAAATTTTGGATAAAATGTGTTACTGCATTATTTCTTTATAGAAAGCACATTTCAACTTATCACAGTAGAACTACTTCAAATTTACCACATTGAGTCCTTAGTCTCAACTCTTGAATTTTATATGTAGCAATACAAACATGTTCAGGATGTCATGTGATAGGAATAAGTTTATTGAATTGTCCCAATGAACTCAATCCTACCAACATGCTTGTGTTGCTACATGTATAATTCAAATGTAAAGACACTGCTACAGAAAGTTACCATTTTCAAAGTGCTACAGCACATGTGACAGTTGCTGTAGACTGCATGCATTTTATTATATGATAAAATATTTTTTTGTTAAATATTAAGTTTAAGCTTATTTTCTAGTAGTTGACAATTCAAAATTGTTATTTATTGTAACATAAAACTAAAAAGTCAAGAGTAATCTACTTGGAGCAAAGACTACTAAAAGTAAGTTTTTAAAGTATATTTTAAAGGTAAACATAGTAGCAGCTATGTTTAAACATTATTTAAAACTGTGTAGTAAAAAGTTTAAGTATTGTTTTAAAAAATCAAAGATTATTTTTCTTTTTATGAAAAANGATAATTTTAAAATTGATTTTGGATGAAGTGCTATATTCTAAACATAAAAAGATATTAAGTTTTGTTAATATCTGTTACTGTATTATATAAATTTTTTACAATGATATTAAATATGTATATACAGGTAGGCCTCCTACAACGCGGTACCTTTACAACGTGTTTTCACTCCAACACGGTTGGAAAAATGTGGAAATTTTCTTACAACATGGTACTTTTACAATGCAGTTTACAGTATTTAGAAACAAATTATCTTCACATAACAGAAAAATCGCAACATATCACGTGATACAAGCCACAGTTCAACATACTGAGCTAAAAGTCTTTGAAAACAGCTGTTTGTGGACGTTGGCATGTTATTCCCTTGAAAGTTTCAGGGAAAGACCGGTTTCTAGACAGATGTGCATCAGTTACCGTAAACACTCAAATATATCACTAAATTTTCGATCATTTATACTCTTTCAATAAGTGGGGACCACAAAAATGGTCCAAAATACAGTATAAACTTCTATTGGATGTATATTTTTAACAACATAGTGAAAGGAAGTTATTTTTTGCGATTTTTACTGTCCACAAAACTGATTGATAAAATTTTAGCCATAACAATGCCGAATGAAGAGAAAGGACCATCGTTAAAAAGGAAATTTATAAATCTTCAAAAAAGATAGAAATTTTGGATCGAATTAAATATCAAGAGCGGATAGCTGATATCGGTAGGCATTTTAATTTAAATGAGTCGACGATTCGGTCAGGATAAAAGATCAAAAATTTGGTCGCATCCGGATCATCTATTCTTGCGAAAAATGTTGCTCGTCCGAGAGCACCNAAATTCTTGTTTTTTTCTAGATAAAAAGTTTTTTCCCTAAGATTGAAAAAAAATTTTTTATCTTAAGAAATTTTATTTTGAAGCTTTGATATTGTATGATATTGAAGAATTTGTGTAAAGTAAGAATATGTACAGATGCAGGGGTGTAGCTGCAAGGGGTAGCATTTCCCAAACTAATGCTCTTCTACTCCTTACTCTCTGTTGACCCCACTGTTGCATTGCAACAGTAACAGAGTAAACAGTATTTATTGTTTACTTTTAAACTCAAGTTTAAAAGTAAACAAATTAATCAAATTTCCATAAAAACATATGGTAAAGCGATAATCAGTTAATGAACAAAGTCTTGGGACAGATTATGTTCGTTGAGTTTACTTTTAAACTTGAGTTTAAAAGTAAACTCAACGAACATAATCTGTCCCAAGCATAATCCGTTTACTTTTAAACTTGAGTTTAAAAGTAAACGGATATATATCCGTTTACTTTTAAACTCAAGTTAAACTCAAAAATATCCGTTTACTTTTAAACTCAAGTTAAACTCAAAANTTTTTACATTTGTATGTAATATAGTTTTTTTATATATATAAAAGACTGTTTTTCTAAGTAATCTAGAATCTAGCTGCAAGGACCCGCTTCGCTGGGTTTTTAAAAAGTAATGATAGTGAAGATTAAGATAATTACATTATAGCCAATCTTGCGTTTTCACAGAATGCAAGAATTAGGTCCTCCGTTTCCAGACTAATTAGAGACCTGGTACCGATTCTATTTCTGGACGTCTCCTGTTCACGTCAAGTCAAACGAACTATTTTCAACGTTTCTGGAACGTTTACGATCGTTCTATAATCTAACCAATATTCAAATTTTATGTTCAAATTTAATTCGAATATTGTTGAAATTGAATATTGAATAAATTCGAACAAAACATTCGAAATAGAAAGCCACTTTCAACCACTTTCCGCCTCATATCTCCTGCACCTTTATAGCTATCGAGACGCAACCCCCCTGGTGCACGAATGGAGACTTGGGGCTACTACCACATACAAACATCATTCACGTGCGATGTGTAGTTTTGGCGGAAAAGTGAAATACAGTAAAACCTCGATTATCCGCCCCCCCGATCAACCGACCCCTCGGTTAACCGACCATCCTAGTCGGCAAATTTCAAATGTCCGCTAGTGATGTGGCGCTACAATATTTGGCTATGTCTTGGCTACTTTAATATTATTTTTACGTGTTTTAGCTGGCAACACTCATTCGACCATGAAAGGGAGCCAGTATTTAAACGAAGCTTAATTTTCTAATTTTTAACGATACAATAGCGACGATTATTATTTTAAAAAATTTTTGTTAGGCTTAACATCGATGAAAATTCA